ATTTTTTAATAGGCATTTTGAGTTACTTTAGTTAGAATTTCGTTCCGGACTTAATAACGGTTTACCGTTCCCTAGTAGGCTAATAGCAACAAGACCAAGTCCCCCGCTTTCAAAACTTTGGATATATCTTTTACAATTAACCTTTGAAATCGAAAGATTTTTAACACAATTTATCTTATCTTTACCTTCAACCATCAAAAAGTTTAAAGATCTTTATTGCCTATTCCTTCTTGTTTCGGAAAAGATTTAACATTGCTAGTTTTATCCTGAATAGGAAACCGCGAATTTATTTTCTTGTACCATTCTAGTAATAGCTATGGATCACAACTAGAACAACTTTTGATTATCACCTTCGGCTTCGATGATCCGGATTATCCGTAAATGCTGCGGATTGATTGTTATGAACTTTTGTAGCATTTACAGAACTTCCATCAGAAGTTTTATCTAATTGTGGTGTCAATGCAGTGGAAGAACGAAAATATGAACGTATGATTGTGTTGAGAATTATTTCTGTTTATAGTTTATCATGTCTTAAATTTTGTTCGGCGGGAGTTTGATAAGGATGCATCCTATTTTGTGTTCTTAAGGTACGATTTGATAAAGATGGGACTTGCTCATTCTGTTGTTGTGGTTTAGGCGGATTTCTTTTTATTCTGTAAAATCGAAGGTGATTTTTTTCTAAAGGTAATTTCAATTTCAGAGATTTCGATTTTGAAGAGTTCAGCACTATTATCACAATTCGTATGACTGAGGAGAATAAGCGGTTAAGTCAGGTGAGCCTCCGGTAAGTAGTGATGGGATATTCGGAATGGTTTGTGGCAACGCATGTGAAGAACAACATTACACCTTATCAGGGGTATGATCGATATGCTGCTGTGCCATTGGTGATGGAAAAAACGATTGAATGCGTTCATTAGGGTTTAAGTTGTCATAGTGGTTTGATTTTTGTGGTTGTAACCCATTAGAATATTCGTTAATGAAACTGATTTTTTTTATTGTGTCAATATGAGCATGATGAGCATGATGAGCATTTGTGTGCAAAAATTGTTACGGTCTAAAAATGGTATACAATTATTCGTGGGCTTAGAAATAAAATTTATTTGAATTACTGACCATCCAGATTTCTCGGGAATATCAAACAGTCGATGAAATCATTGCAACGATTTTTTCCGTAGGATGTAACCTGCATGTTTAAATTTTGTAATGCGCGATCTCTCGGCAGATATTTTAACTTTTATTTACATATTATTAAATAAAAATGGTTTAGCTTCTAGGTTATGATATCATTTCACAAATAAGGTTTACTTATTTATTTATGTGTAATTTCTCTCAAATACGAGAGTTCAAATAAAATTTATTTAAATTTATATTCTAATACATTGTTATAGAATCAATGATCTTTTCTCATTGTTCCTTCGTAGATATTATAAATAATGAAAAGTATTAAATATTAAAAATGACAAATAGATTAATTTATATCAGTAATTTGCACATTTGTACATTGATAAAATTCCCAACCAGCAGAAATTCTACGAATATGAACTTTGTTGTGATGTCAGTCAGTACTGTGGGCAAGGGTAATAATAATAAGGATGATATTGAAATTGTTGAGGACCAAATCGATTGTAATTATTATGTCTAAAATTTTGATCAGGGTAAGGATACATCATTCGATTTTGATGTTCGTTCATTTGTGTCGGTTGATTTTGTATTTCAAAATAATTTTGATTTAATGTCGGTATAGATTTTTGTCTAATGATAATTTCAATTCCTTTAATTTCAATCTTAAAGAGTTCAGCATAATTATTTTGAGGATTATCATCATGTTTCGAGAATTGTTGTGACGATTTCTTAGAGGTAGGTAGAGAATGCTGTGCTAAAGGGATGGCATGCATATGTGTGGTGATTGGAGAAACACCTTGCGTACCATTTTGATTATTCATAGAATAATTGCTACTAGTATTTTCGTAAATATTATTATTACTAGTCGGGAAATTTGCACAACTACAAGGTATTTGAGGATTTAAAGATTGTTCCATTTGATTTATGTTGTTAACATTGGAACAATCATTCAATCCATTATTAATGGATCCGGAATACAAATCATTTTGACCATTAATTTCATTATGGTCATTATGATATGAAGGTTGATCCATTTTTGAATTTAGAGTTAAAAAACTGAGATAAATCTAAATTGACTGTTGTAAAGGTAAAAGGTGAAACGTTATTTTTTTTTTTTTATTTTTATAATATGAGAAAATCCCCCTTTAATTTCTTTGATTTTTTTTTTTTCTCGATCGCAAACAAAAAAAGTTGATGAAAAAAAAATTGCAAAGTCGTTTCCCTATTTTATACCTTTTTTCCCGGAGTTGAATCCGCAGCATACGCATAGCATGCGTAATTTCAGTACACAAAATTTTATCGGTTCACCGGTGGGATAATATTGATAATATTTATAGCTTTTTATTTATTTATTATTTATATTATATGATCAATTAAACTTGGCTTTATTTTTACTAATAAGTGTTTAGAGGTTCTAATGAATAATTTTATTTTGATGTTGGAAGCATTCTTTATGCAAAAAATTAACATCTTTCTTGGGAGATGGGTCATTCGTTAAAACAAATACCCAATGATTGATTTTAAGAATGGTTTAGTCGAAAACGACTATGTATCTACATGAAAGATAAAAAAAATGATTACGATAATTCTGAATGTAATTTAATATCCAATGATTGATTTTAAGAATGGTTTAGTCGAAAACGAATATGTATTCTACATGAAAGATGATTACGATAATTCTGAATGTAATTTAATACCCAATGATTGATTTTAAGAATGGTTTAGTCGAAACCGAATATGTGAAAGATAAAAAAAAAATGATTACGCCAATTCTGAATGTACTTTTAATAATTTTTAATTAAACATTTTTTAAATAATTCTCTTGATCTTTACTGCAGATTTGTTGTCAACATACCTTATTAAAATATATATTAGATTTTGAAATCAAAGTATTTATTGAATGTGTAAGGAATTCTTATTTAGGGCGGTTGTGAGTCAAAATCTAAAGAGTCAAATGTATTAAAGGAAAGATAATTTCATTTCAATATGATATAGCACTGGTATAATATTTGTCTATAGAAATAAACATCCCGGGTATCAAAACAGTAGGTCATGCAATATTTTGCGAATATTAATTAGCTATTAACCCGAATGGAAACCACTAATAATGCAAAATTCCTTGTCAAAAACGCGAAAAAGTGGGAGAAGCGCGTTCAAATAAATTTAATAGTGAAAAAGGTTCTGACTGTACGATTTCACCGAAATACCTCCCTTATAAAATAATAATAATATAAATGTTAAGTTTTATGTGATAAGCAATACTACAATGACATTAAAATAGGTGATTTTTTTTTTTTTTTTTTTTATAATACTTTGTCAGATCTAACATAAAAAGATTATAACTGATTCATTTTAAAGTATTATAGTTATATAGTAATGAAATTATTTTAATAATAAAAGAAAATTGGTTCACCATACATTCTTTAATATAAATAGATTAAAGAATATATAATTATATGATTTCTATAATTCACCTTTTAGAAATAACTATTTAATGTCTAAAAATATTATTTGTTTTAGAATCAGAAGAAGTTTTAAATTCTCTTTTATAGTTGGATAGATAATTTATAAATAAATCAAAAATGATAAGATGAACAAGATCACACTTTGAATTTAAAACTATTTATATTTATTTTAAATTCTAAATTCAAAACAAGTTGTTTATAAGTAGAATGTTTAATCTCAAATAATAAATGTATTTTTAGGTTGAGTTTCTAGAATTTATGTATAAAATAAAATCATTAATATTATCATTATTTGAAAATTTGAATCTAATATTCTTTAATATAAATATAATAGTTTATGAAAATATTTTTTTAATACAAGAATATACAAATCCTACCTCTATCATGTGATGATTGATTATATAAATTTTAATATAGCATGTAAATTTTAATAAAAAAAGTAAAAATTGTTAATTAAAATTTCGTTATAATAAAATATTAAGCTTTTTAAAATGAAAATATTGTAATAAATAAAATTTTAAAGTTTTAAATGAAAATTGCAATATTATGTATTATACATAATAATTAGTTTTGTAGTATAATTTTTTAGCATTTCTTAGTGATTAAAGGAAGCTAAGCTTAAATTACTACTTTAATTTGAGCCACAATATACTAAACAACTAAGAATTTTCTTTATTTTGCTTGATATCTATTTCTTTATTCTTTTCAGAATAATTTCATGAATCATGATACTATGATTTATAAATAGAATACTGTCTTTTATTTCTTTTTCTATTTACATCTGAATTTTCTTCTTGAATATTACTATTTTTCTTGAAGATTTTTAATAGCTAATAAATATTATTCACTAACAAATTTGTTAATAAACACTAAATTTGGATGTTTATAATCTACTGCATTTATTAAAAATTATATTCAATATAAATTGAATCTTAATTTCGATTATATGTAAGATTCACTTTTTTATTAAATTGATATTTGCTTCTATAATAACATTTATATATTTTTTTAGCCTAACTATCATTTTCTTATTATTATTTTTATTTTAAAATTTATTTACTTTGCATATTATTTTAAATATATTTCAAGTATTTTAAATTTATAAAAGTTTGTCTAGTATATATATATTTTAATGAACTATTATTAGGTTCATTAACAATATCAATATTTTTGTTATTATTATCTTTATCATATATAATATAAGGAAAGTAATTTATCTTAATATATAATAGTTATAAAAGAAAGTTTAAAAAAAAGAAAATATTTACAATTATAATTTGTATAATCAAAAGAAAAAAGTTTATTAACAAAAAATGATGTAATTTTGATTTAATTCAAATGATAATTTTATAAATATATAATATAGAATATGTATATTACCTGATATTAACCTATAATTTTCATGATTTATTATATCATTTACTATTATTAAATTTTTTAATACACTTTTATTATTTTCAATTAATTACTTTTCAAAAATATCTATTAATATTGTTAATATTATTATCAAGTTTATTTTCAGTTATCTTAATGTTTAAGTCAAAAAAACTGTAGTAATTGATTCTACTTATTAGAATTTACAATCTTAAATTTTCCTTTAATACATTTTAGAATTTAAGATTTATTTAGTTAAACTCAAATGATGATTTCAAAAGTAAGTTAATATAAAATCTGTCTTATTACAAACCATCTCTCTCTTATCATTTAATATCAAAATACTATCACAAACTGAAAATTACTTTACTCTAATTATTATCATTCCTTTTTCTTTTTTTATTTTTTTTTTAATTTTATATTCAATTTTTTTTATAATTATTTTTTGATTTTTGCTAAAAAAAATGTTTTTTAAATAAAACTTACTATTTCTATATGATATTTAAGATTAACAATTATAGTTTAATCTATATTTGACCAAAAGTAAGCATACTTTAATATTTATAAATTTATTATAAGTATATATTAAAATAAGGAAAACTATATATTTTAATTATTAATCTAATAAAATCTAAAAATATTAGTTAATATAAAAAATATATTAGAAAAAACTTTGCAATATTATAAAAGTTTTTTTAGAATTCTTTTTTATGCTAAATATTTTATATAACTATATAATTATAAATAAATATTTTTTATTATAAGATTTTTTGAAATAAGGATGATAATGATTATAGGTAGAATGTGATTATAAACAGTAAGTTTAAATAATAAAAATTTAGTCTAACTAGGGTGATTATATAAGATAATATGATTATAACAAAAATGACTATAATAAGAGTTGCCTTTATGTAATAATTATTTAAAAATAAAATTTAATTTATTGGATTCATCTTATTAAGATCTATAAAATAATAGTATTTTTATATTTTTGAGATTAATAAATAGCAAGACATAAATTTAAAATTTTAACTTTTTTAATAATAATTTATTATTTATTTATCTTTAAAAATCACTAATTAATTACATTTTTTTTTTTAATCTTTATTTAAAAAACATAATTAAAAATGATTTTTACAAATTTGTAAGTAAAATAATTAAGAAATAAGATTTTGATATATTATCTACATTACAATTTATATGTAATTTTTTTTTAATTAACTGAAGGATCATTAGTTAAATAAAATAAAAATACAATTTAAAATATTAATTAATAAAAAAGAAGCAAAAAAAAAAAATATTAGTTAATATTTAAAGATTAAAATTAATTTTTTAAAATTATTATTTAAAGATTATGTTTAATATTAAAAAAATTTAAGAAAATAAGTAAAAATTATAAAATAAGTAAATTCTAAATAGTAAAAATATGAATCATTTTGAAACTCTATATTAAAACAAAATATTAGATATTATAAAATATTTTTTAATTTTTCAGAAATCATGACTTTTGTTATTAAAATTCAAGAATTTTATTTTTTAATCACAAGAAGGTAAAGTTTACTATAAAAATAAAATCTTTCTATGGCATTATATTCACTTTTTATTGAAATAATCCCCATATGATAATTAAAATACACTAGGACACATTTGCGTGTTACATTAAAGTTTTTATTTTTAATATTACAATCTATTTGTAGTCATCATTTACGATTTATTTATAACATTATCCATTTTTGGTCGTTTTTACAATTAATGATTATTTGGCTTATGTAAAATTTCATTATTTTCAAATAGTTATTATTATTATCTTTTTTTTTTTAAATCAAAGAAAAAGAACAACCTAATTTGAGCAATCTTAAATGTTTAATTATCAAATTGGAATAACTAAACATGTTTGTTAATTGAAAGGAGATAATGAAATTTTTTGAAGAAATTAATAACCAATGTTTAAATAACCAAAAAATTACTATTAATAAAGCGACTATAAGAGTCATATCAAATTAACGAATAAAAAAACCTCCAATATTATCAAATTCAAGCGTTTTGTTTTTTTAATACAGAAGTCCAGAAGTCTATATATGCTTCGGCATCTTTATGCCGCATGTCCGGATGTATTTCGATAATGTTAACCTTCCATTTCTGCACTTTCTGATGCGTGATTTCGTTATTATACTTGAAATACACACCAACTACAT